TCTTTCCCAACAGCTTTTGCCCTTAGTATGATTATACGTGTATTGGTTGCGTTTAATATTGATTGAATAAGGGATATTTGAGTTAGATCAATCTCATTTGTTACAGGAGAAGGAAGGTTTTTGTGGAAAACATTTTTGCAGTGTGCACAATTCGGTGTTTGGAGACAAATCTTACCGATTAGTTCTTGAGTAGGACTATAACCCAAGGATGGTTGAACAAAGGAGAAGAGGGTTAAACATGTAGAAAGGATCGAGAGCCAATGAGTGCAATCCATTTGTTTTCCCTCAAGGAAAATTTGAAATCGAGAGAGACAAAATTGAGAATACCCGTATTTCATGTTTGGTAAGACTGCATTATTTTTTCTGCTTTCAATCGACATGATTTGAGATTGAGAATTCAATATTCGGATTGTGGTAATATTGCAAAAATCACCTTCCTCTTTACATTTCATGTTTGGCAAAAAATATTAAGTTGGTCAAACATATCTTTCATACACATTGCATAGAATTTACAAGGCTACAGCGACTACTCACTTATTATCTACATATTTCATATAACTCACAATTTATAAATACTTAACGAGGAATGATATTCAACATTACTGATATTAAGTACCAGTCTAGATGTCAACTACATGACATTAAATGATGGATGTTAGATATTTTTCATCATTTTGCATGTATTTATTTCTGTTTTGCGAATGATTTGCCGCTCCGACTAATATTTGCTGCTGCACAACGGGGATATCATTTGGGGGCAGCGCCCCCCGTGGGGGCTCGGGGGCAACGCCCCCGAAAGAGAATTTTATTTCAGAAGTCTTTGAATAGGTGCATCTGTTCGTTTTTTAATAGTCACCTCCAGTAGATGTATGCAAGGATTTCAAGGGACACACATATTCAAATGGTTGCCTCAATTTTTATAAATTCTGGGCAAATTCTCGTTTGCAAAACACATAAAACAATTTATTCTTCTTTCTTTCTCTTGGTATCAATCAGTTATTTTCGAGTGTCTTCTTGGTTTGATCAAATAGTCACAATTTGAATCAAACGTCTCCATTGTATCCTGAGAGAGATTTTCTATCATACCCCATTTGTGACTTTGTTGGATAGGGGAGAAACATCTCTTAAAAGATAACGTTTTTTTTCGTGCCTTGGAGTTCATTAAAGTATTCAGATTTTCCTACATTTTTATCAACAATGGATTCACTTTCATTTAATTGAATCTATCAAATGTGGTCACTAGATTGGTGTTCTAATACTAATGGTGCTAGATAACATTATTCATACTCAAAAGCACTTCTAAACATCAGATAAGGAAAGGAGACAACTCAAAAAGAAGTAAAGTTATCCCAATACTACCTCGTGTGTTGCTATAGTAGGTTGGTTTATCTACGTGCTTACAATTAACCACCAACAGGGCCAAGATGTCATTGTCAACTCACTTAACTAAAAAGAAGAATACACACGAAAGCCCCTCATGGGGTGGCCGAGTTAGTGGAGTAGGTGAGCGTGAAGGTCTTTGGTCACGAATTCGATTCCCCCTACCAATACTTTCTTGGTCGAGCTTGTCGCACTGGACTTGCCGAGTGCGGTTTACCTGGCTGGAGTGATTTGCAGGTTATTGCGTCAGTCCGAGTGTTTACCCAGTACGTACTCGAAGGGTAGCGGCTGCGAGTTCCCCCATTATAAATAATAATTAAAAAAAAAAAGAATACACACGAAAGTTCGACCATCCTCTTAGGGGCTGTTGATGGTTGATGGACTTTCCTAGCCCATTGATCAATCAGGCAATAGCTGGGTTTCAAAGTCGATTTCAACCAAAATTTTTATACCCAGCCTGGACATTCAGTTAGAAGTTGAAGGTTCATCCATGATTCCAGTAGAGTCGAACTAGAGATAAAAAAATATTGCAATACACACAAAAGTATAAATTGTAGTAATGTATGTGATTTTTCTCTTCAAGTTGGTCAATCTGGTCCGGTTTTTATCAACTTGTGAAAATTTAAAGTCACAAGAAAGAAGTGAACTTTATTTATTTATATATTATCTTCAACAACTCGATTTAGAAGATATATAGCTCTCATGAGCCAGTTATTATGCAGTTTGGATGTAAACTAACCTGAGAAAATTCGTAGCTGCAGGTCCATAGGGTCCTTCTACTGAAACTTCAAGATGACGATTAGTCAAAGAAGAAGGAGATGAAATCAAATCATAGAGATTTTTAGTCCAATTTCCTACGCACTTGATGACAACACTAATCCTCTCCGGTTCCAAATTACTGTTTGAAGTAACAGTGAAAGGATGCCACTGCAGCTTTGAAATGCTGGGAACATTTATGAACATTATGCTTGTTGGACTGTAATTCAAAGCTGCAAGAGAAAATTTAGGAATTCAAAGTAAATAATTCATTAGATTTTAAAATAGCTATTAAGCTTAAGGGTTAGGACATAAAAATGAGTATTTTAAAACTTTCCTACGGTCGGGACTTTGGGTTATAAGTGTTTCTTTTTGGGAGAACGAAAGATTGTCAAAGGCGACTGGCACAATTTTGAGTGTAATATGAGTATCCATGGATGTTATATAAGGGGTGCATGGATTTTCGAGAAGAGAGGAGCCGTGGTGGGCTTCTTGGACCGCCCGGATTCCACAAGTAAATTGAAAGTTGGATTTACATTGGATCTCACTAGAATCATCCCACCTATCCTCTTGAGTATATAAGTTTTGAAATATTTTATTTGGTACTTATGTCCAAAATGAGCAAGAGTTGAATTTCAAAAAAGTAAAATTTAGAAAAACTTGAGAAGCTATATGTGGGGCCCTATCCCTGAGGGCCGAAATAGGTCGAACCCTAAAAGACCATGATCACGTGGTTTGTCTTACATAATCCTATAGGTATGATATAATTGCAATAGACTCGACACATCTCTTGAACCATAAATGTATGTGTTATGTGTTGATATGTAACTCATACCTCGACTCTTGGAGAAATTCAATTCCACAGTTTCGCATGGAAGAACACGAGCAGAAACAAGTCGGACTTTTTGTCTTGACTGTAAGAACCTCAAGTAGCGGTCGATGATGAAAAGATAAAAACCAGGGAGCATAATGCAGGCAAAACCAATGCCAGTATGTAGAATGAAGAAAACCATGAAGGGAATGTAGAGATAATGAGTGTAGAAGAAGAGGTCAAACATTTTTCTTCTTATAGTAGGGTATGTTGTCATCCACAAAGCCAGTCCACATAACAACCCTATTTCTCCAGCTACATTTGCTATATAATGTTGATCCCATTTGAGCATCTGCATAAATTCATAACAGAGAGAAAATTAGAGAAGTGTGCATGAGTGCATCTGTGCGAGGGTGTGCATGGGTCGTGTACAAGTTTATAAATATGGGGAAAAAAATCATATCTAAGGTTGCTTTATATTGTGGGTTGATAATAAAGCTTTACCAAGATCTTATTAAAATTGCGACAAGTCCTTCATTATTATTCATTCATCCTTCAATAATTCATCCATCAAACACTACTAGAAACCAAGTACTGATCCAAGATCGGGCTATAAAATTTCAAATCGGGCTACAACGTGGAAAAAAAATTACACATGAAAAACTGATTTTTTACCCAAAAAAAATAAAAAATACCTTTAAAAAAAAAGTTGTTGGCCTTGGGGGGGGGGACTACAGCCCTACCCT